ATTTTAGTTATCGTCGTCATTATCATATCGTTTATTATTGTTGTTGTTGTTGATACTGTATATCGAAGAATCGATTTTGATTTCGATAACCGAGATATGAGATTTTCTTGCGGTACTAATGCATTCGAATATTAAACAACGAGATGCCACGCGAATAAAAATACAATTTTATTTTTCATGAAAAAAACATATAGAAAAAATGAATACCAAAAAAATACAAACTTCATAATATTTGTCTTATTAAATCTTATCCGTGCCAAGATAGAAAGAAAAGAAAAAAAAAATTACAAAGTAATATCCGAGATGTGACTTGGTTTTTATCATTGAAATGTTTTTCCGTAAAAAAATTGTCGAATAATAAAAAAGCTAACATGTGCGAACCGAGCGTTTCTTGATGCGAGTTTTGATCAATTAATAAATCTTCGTTAAAAGAAAAGGAAAAACATACTGTGGGTTAAGTTTTTGTCTCAATTTCTTCCTCTCTCTCTCTTTCTCTCGAAATAGAAAAGAATTATTTTTCACGAGCTTGTGTGCAGGTACCTAAAGAACGGCGGCAATTAAATTTACTCTTTTATATACGCTCCGAGTAATTAAAGGCTGGCACGTACGATTAGACGTGTTTTATCTCGAGGATATGAAGAATTATTTATATCTTTCTTCTATTATAAAAATAGAAAAATAAATCGTACAAATGGATTTTACTTAAAGTCCTACTGGATAATAAAATCGAAATGGGGGTTCTGTCTTTGCTTGTGCGTTATTAAACGGTAATTAAACTTTCAATTCTTATGCTAATTTTTTGTCTCGTCTATTTGTATTTCTTTCTCTTTAATTTTTTAGCTTGCATAATTTTACGGTAATACTTTAAATGTTCACATTACGATGTACCTTACCGATTGCATTTTATTTCCAATCAATTCGTTTTTCTTTCCTTTTCCCTTTCTCGAAGATTCAAATAATTAAACATTTGTACAAACAAAAGAACTTTTTCCATTATTTCTATGATAAAATACTGCAGTTTTTAAATATAGGTATTACATGTTCTAGCATATGGATGATACAAAAAATATGAAAAAAAATGTTCTAAACCATGTGAACCACGAATTGGTATCGTTTTACATGCGCGAGAGGAAAAAAATATTTGGTTGAATATGTGTGTGTGTGCATGCGTGTATCCGATATATCAATTGGTATTGATTTTATATGCATTGGTGTATCGTATTTAGTTGTAGATGAAATAGCTCGGACCCGAATGAATAATATTCAGCAGATCGGCGGCGTTCGGTAGAAGTTGTTCGTTCTTCTAATGCTTTTTATCAAAAATACGTCGAGAACGAATATATATATATGTTACCGTCAAAGCCGGAAATCAGTCATTGCTAGTAATTCTTCGAAATTACTATGAATGCAAAGAGCATTCCGACGAAGTCAGAAATAAGACTTTTTACAGAGTTTTTTTCCTAAGCATCGAACATAATACTTTGATATCCTATAGAATATCAAATTACTATTTAAACAACGTTGAAAAATATTTATAAAGTTAAAAACGTATTGGCAAGGTTTAAATGTTTTTGTAATACAAGAAATGAATTTTGGACAAATTCGTATATCGGACAAGATGAAGCATAAATAATGAACATTTGTATATAAGAGTAAAATTAAAAGAGATCATCAATCTAAATAACAATTATTTAACTAAACATTTATAAATAATCGATAAATCCGTATAATGGTATGCATTAGCATTATCGTAGCTTATTGTTAGATATGAAAGCGAAACGAGCAAAACTAGGATAGATCTTGAAGAGTCTTTCGCCTTTAGAATGCTACGAACAAAGCTACTGGTTTATCATCCTGTCTTGGTTTATTCTCTCATCATATTTCTAAACCCTTCTGAAGGATGCTCTTCTGTCTGTTCTTTTTCTTTCGCGATCATATACTCAATGTTGGCGCCATCATTCATACACAACAATTCTCAAATTTTCATATCATTTTTTTAAATCTATTCTTTCTCTATTTTTTTTTGTTTTTTATTTTTGTTTGAAGATTTATAATATCCTATTACCGAGAATACAAAACGGAATGGGGGTCGAAGTTATTATGGGAGGAAAAATAAATTAAAGGTTGAGAATGTGTACGCTGAGATAGTTTTTTGTGTCGTGAAACAAAAACAATTTATCTGCATTATCTTCGAAACCTGAATGGGTTAATACTGAGTTAGATAGAGAAAAGGAAAGAATGATAGAGAAAGAAGAAAAGAAGGAAGGAAGAAAGAAAGAGAGAGAGAGAGAGAGAAAAAAAAATATGGATGACCTTATGCGTCTCGTATACTCTCCTTTAAATTTCTCTATAAAACGCGTACCGTCTTTTCTCTCCAAGAAGAGAAGAGTGCTTTAAACATTTGCGTACTCCAATCTTCCAGCAGGCGATTCGAGTATGCACCAATGCGGAATAAACGATGAATGCGATCAAATTTTCCATCTCCCTTTCTACATTTTGTCGAAGAACTATTTTATCGTTTTACGATCGATCAGAGATAATAATATAAGCAAAACGGAATCTCGTTCGAATCCTAATGACTCTAGTCATTTTCAAATATCATTAGGATTATTTGATCTAGTTATTATATTAAACTCGAGATGTCGATCAATTTATTAAAAGCATCGTCATATTGGTTTATTCATTTTTATTCTTCACAATGGTTGGTATTTAAACATTTCTTATATTATTAGCTTTTTTTTTCTTTTATAGTCTACAAAAAAGAGAATTTTTCGATATAAATACGGATAAATTAATATTTTGTATAAAGTGTGTTTTTATAATTAAACAAAATATAATGTTTCTTTAGGAAGATGTACTTAAAAAGTACAAAAAAAAAAAACAAGAAGAAAACAAAACAGAAAAAGCTTTTAACAAATTTGTCATCGAGTGCTTTTACAAAAACTGCATTTCCATTTGATAGACTTGCTATTTTTTTCTCCTTTTTAATTTTTTTTTTTTTATTAAACATGCTATAAATATCATTAAAATCGATCAATCCTATAGCGCTTTTTACATTTATCCCCAAGATCTTTAGAATCGTTAAAAGTTTAATGCATTGATGAAAACATATTAACGAGATGTCACGGAAAAATAAAAGGATGGTGGGAAAATTCGGATGCAGCGTATGAACAAATGTTGAAACTAACAACGACGTCAAACAGGATTCCATGGTTAAACTCGTAAAAGTTCATTTCGCAACTGAAAGCGTAATACCGCAATAAAGACGATGAAATACGCTTTCGGTTTTGTCGGTTTGGTTGTTATTTTTCATTGTCGAGAATTTTGTCGCATGCGATTTCGTTAACAGAGAATCGAAAAGCTATTACTATTGTAAAAAAAGAAAAAAAGAAAAAAACGTCTTCGAACTTTCGGGGAAATTAAATATATTATATAATATAACAATTATTATAAATAATCAAATTGACGGAACAACAAATTCGGTATTCAGCATAATTTTCGTACGTAACCAAAATAAGGAGTAAGAAAGAAAGAAAGAAAGAAAAGAAAATATCGGAAATAAAATAAGAAATTTTATATCATTGGAGAAAAGACGTCGAGTAGGGCTAAATGAAAGACGTCTTTTCAGAAGTTGGTATTCCAGTTCGGTTCACTTGGACAGAGGTAAAGCCCTATCCTTGGTCTTGAATCAGAAAGAGAGGGAAAAACGGGATATATAGATATAGAGAGTTGAAAGCATACGCATGGTGGCGCAGCCCTCATCAAAACTGGTTCACGGATGGAAGATCACCGTAAATAGGTGGAATTAGACGAAAGCTCGCGGCATAGCGCCTGTAATTTGCGGACCATTCCCTTCTATCCGTCAATCCCTCCCCCCATCCCCTCCTCGTTCCTTTCTCTTATTCTTCTTTTTCTCCTTTTCCCTCTCTTACGAAAGGTTCGAAACAGTGTACCGCTTTTTCACCGACCATTATCCCTCTTTTGTTACAACTCAGTTCTGCCCAAACGTAATTCGATTCTTTCGACCTTTCGAACTTTCATCATCTCTTATCCTTCAGTCTTGTTCCGGTAAGTCTTTTCCACTTTTCGGAAAGGAACGGATGGAACTTGCATCGTATTTTTCTTCAACGTCGATGGATCAGAAAAATTCAGGTCAATTTAATCGTCCTAACTTTTAATACGTTCAATCATTTTTTCCTCTATCTTTGCATTTTGTTTCTTTTTGTTCGTTTTAATTTCAATTCAAAATTCACTCTGTGTTAAGAAATTAATTATTATTTTATATTGGAAGTACTGTATTATTATACTAATGTCATATTGATACTATACTTGTAACTATTATTTTGTATTACTTTACTATTTTCGTAGACACTAAAGTTTATAGAAAAAGATTTAAAAGTAGATCTTTCTCTCTTTTTACTTAAGATTAATTTGGAAAATTTATTACAATTAGGTGGAAACGTATACCCGTTTAAAATGAAAAGCCTTTGTTTCTTCAAAGATCGTATTTTTTAATATCGAAATAATAGAAATAAGTAATGTCATGTATCCTACGCGAACTTCTTAGAAAGTTCGTAAAAAATGTTCTCCCGAGCATAAAGTTGCATTTTTGTTCTTTTTAGCCGTCGGTGAGATAGGGCAAAAGACAGAGGGAAAACGGCGTATAAGAGATAGGGGTATGCTTTAGACAGGATAGAATAAGGGATGGTTAAGAACAAGGGATGGTTAAGAACAAGGGATGGGATGTAAGCGACACGAAGATAGAGAGAGACAGAGAGAAAGAAAAAGGAGACCAAATAAAATGACTCCAGTCAAGACGACAAATTATACGAAAAACATTTCAAGCATGAAATAATAAAGATTTATGTTAATATTTCAATTATTTTCAAAAACGTGATTTTTCATAGCGCGATATAATTAAAAAAAAAAAAAACGAAACAAACAATATAAATATACATATTTAATATAATAAATAATATTATAACATATTGATAACTTACCATTGATAACGTGAACGGTAACGCTTGCTTTTTTCGCAAAGGTTGGTACGCAACTGTAGTTCCCTGAGTCGCTCAATTTCGCTTGAGTGATCCTCAATCTGAAACATAAGGCGAAAGGAGAAAGCGGGAACATCAAATGAACATCAGTTCTATCGTAAAATGTAAACTCTCTTTGAAGTATTCCTCAATGATGTTATTCCTGTCTAACATATCTCTCTACATTTCAGGAAATAAATGTTTCAAAACATTTAAACAGTTATTCCGAACGAAATACCGTAACCGTACGATAGATAATATATAAAACAAAATCAAAAAATGAAAAATCAGTCTAGTAAAACAAAAAAAGAACAAAAAAAAGAAACAAATAAGAAACAGGAAGAATTATCAATAGAAACGTGTTAGTCGCAGGAAACCGTTTCGATTACTTTTCGATAGACTTTTTCTATGGTATTTTCAAAGTGTTCGCCAATGGCTCGTGGCTCCACTTATCAATGTTTCCTTCTTCGTGCTTTTCTTTTTCTTCTTTTTTCAAATAAGAAAAATAAGAAAAAGAAAGAAATAAATTGAAAAAAAAAAGGAACAGAAGTGCATTTTCCCGTAGTCTCGATCAGTCCATCTTAAACTTCCAACAGCAGCCGTGGGCGTTGCATTTTATCGGTGTATTTGAAAAGCCTCGGGAACCGATACTGGGCTGTCACTTCTGTTAGGTGGCCAAGATCGCAGAGAAGAAAACTACGAGAGCACAAATGGGTGCGCGTACTTGAATAGAAAACTCTCCCCAGAGGGGTAATCAACTTTCCCAATGGCCCTGTCGTTTTTCAAATCGACACATAGACGACAGGGAAACGACTAATCGATATCGATATCAAGATATAGTTAATCCTAGTTTTAAATATATATCGAGATATCCGAATATTCTTATTTTTTTATTATAGATATATTAATCCGATAATATAAAATGCCAATAATCAATAATCTTCGTTAAGTTGTTTGCAAGATAATATGTAGTTTTATGTGTTCCGATGATTTTCAATGCGTTCCGAGGTTTCCATTGAAGCGTATTAAAAAAGGAGAAAGAAAAAAAAAGAAAGAGAAATCGTTGCTCCGTTCTAGTTATCGTTGAGATTACAAAAAAAAAGTATTCTCTGTGGTTTGCTTGATCGATCATTCGTTAAAAGTGTTGTATCAAGCTAGCTGATTTCATTGCGTTATAGTGTATAATTCTCAGGAGACTAATAACGATCTTTTCAAATTATACCGTTCGTTTTCTCTTCTTTTTCTTTTCCTTTTTTCTTTTTTTTCTCCTTTTACATGAATTTTATCTATAGACTTTTTATAGATTGATAGTTGCAAAATGATGTGTACGAGAGAGTTTGAGAAAATTATAATTAATGAAGGAAGAAAGTATCAATAAGTGTAACACGAAGCTTTTACTAATATTTTCTATTAAAAAATTTTGATATCAAAGATTGATCTTACTCTGATCGAACAATAGGATGGATAAGTTGTGGAAATCATGGACAAACAAAATTGAAAAAATATTGTTACATTAGCAGAAACTAAACATCTAGCATAATTCAGTTTTAAATTATTCGAAAACGATTGGATAGGAAATTATGAAAAAGGAAAATATTTCTTTAACTTTTGCATTAAAATATTATAAGAAAAAAGCTTTATAGTCAATCCAATAGAATTCACAGAGGTATCCGTAGTATATGATAATAAAATAAATCAAAATTTATTTTGACAGAGATAGAGACATAGAATGGAGGTGTGGGGTTGGGGGTGTGTGTGTGGAGGGGGGGGGGTAAGGGAGTGAAAGAGAATTAATTCGGTTGGTTCTTGAACAAAAGCTCGTAAATTTGTCCACGTGTAACCGGCATCGCGCCTCGTGACAATCGTCAATCACGTCCAAAAACAGATGTACAACGTATACGTGTATAGATATATATATATACATATACATATATACTATATATATATGTGGAACGTGGCTGACTGTAATGCGTGCAACGATATTCTAGCCTAGAGAGACGAGAGACTAGCAAGAGAGTATCTAGCTAGGGTATACAAAGATAGAACTAACCCTCTCTCTCTCTCTCTCTCTCTTTGTCTCTCTCTAACAAGAGGTTACCCAAAATGCAGAGCATGCCAGATGCATCTTCACGGAGCGCAACGCACCTGACAAAGGACATCGTTGTTCTCTCACTGATACAAGAGATACACAAGCTGTATCATCAAGCAGTTTACTGCCACGTGTTCACTTTACGTTCTCTAACAATCTTCTATCATTCTAATACATTTTGTTTTCTTTTTTGTTAAATTTAATATCACTAATAATTTTAAATATGTCATAACACACACAAATATATGTTTAAAGTAATATATATATATTTTATTGAATTAAGAATTAATATGAATATATAATTTTTAACATAATTTTCTATTCTTTTTTTTTTTCTCTTTGGAGACGGATATAGAAGAGTAATATTTTATGTATATTACGTATATTACGTTTAGGTATTTTCATATTCATCTTTCTGTCAAGAGATAAATCGAATTTCACTGGAACTATAAAAATCTAATTCTCAAATAATCTCCCATACTACTTTTAGTTTGATATCCAGTGTGCAATATTTTAAGTACGTACGTAGGTGGAGTATCATACAAAAGTATCATCTATACATTCATCTTTCTGTCATAAAATAGGACAAATTTGATAAGGATGAATTTTTTGAAATAAATTTTATATTTTTATCTTAAATCGAATAGATATAATATATATATATAAAAGAAAAGCTTTGTTAAAATATGAATCCATTATTAAAGCCACAAGCGTAGGAGTAAATTGAAAAATGGTTTCTTTACCCAAAAAAAAAGAAAAAAAAAAAAGAAAACCTACGTGATCTATCATCTTATGAAAAATGAAATGAACAAACGAAGTGAGTATTAAAGCATAGCGTAGTTGTTAGCGTCATTGAAATCGTCACGCGTATCACGGTACAAAGAGAGAGAGACAAAGAGAGAAAGAGAGAGGAGAGAGCAATTAATCTGACTGGAGAAGCCGCGATTTTCGAAATCGAATGAAATATCGTTTCAACGAGCATGCGCGCGCGTATTGCAGGATCGTTTGTCCGTGAGTGATTTTCATCTGCGTACCTGGCGTAGCTCTTAAATTGGAACATTTTTTGTCCCGATCTCTCTCTCTCTCTCTCTCTCACTCGTAGTGATATCTACGAGCAGAGTTATAACCCATATCGCAAAGCCGTCGAACGATATACGAGAAACCGCCTATCGCGTTCCACCGTCGCGGATTTCACGTCGACGCGATTGAAAGACCCTTTGTGTCCTTCTTTCCCCCCTTTCCCCCCTGCCCACAACGTCCCCGCCCAATTCCGTTACATCGTGTGTCGTACCGTGCCGTTAGATATATCCTTTTTTCAAAAAATATTATGCCAGGACGCGCGCTTGAGATATTTTTGAGAGACGACGTTGCATGATTTTGAAAATTTTTTTCTTTCCCCGACAGAACAGAAAAATCTTCAATCGTCGTATAGTACAGAGGGATACACGAAAATATAATGATTTTAATCTTTTAGAAAAAAGGATCGTTATTCATTTTGGAATAATTTATTTATAACGCGTCTCTATATCTTGTTGTTGTTGTATTATTTCTCACTCTTCGAGATGAAAATAATTGATAATATTCATAACCGAATGTTAAATTTATTAATACACGATATAGAGTACGCGTATGCGGTATCGATGGATATCGTATATTTATTTAAAATTTTAAGTTTAACATAGTAGAAGTATTTGTTTAAACATCAAATAAAATTGGATAAGTTATATTTTATTAAAATATAATGTCCAACAGGAATTTCTACGAGTTGGTGTATTATTTGTTGTTTTTCTTCTTTTTTTTTTAGATGATATCGTGGAATTTTTAACGATGCGCTTTGAAAAGGATACGAACACAGTGGTAATAATTAACAATTTCACGAGGGTATCAATTGGAAAGATCCTACGGTATAATTAAAATCTGTTCTCTATTTAAAATCAATCATACGGTGTTTCGTTTGTTGTCCGATGACTAACGTATATAGGAAAATGAAAAAAAAAAAATAAAAGGTAGAAAATAATTGTTACCTTGACGTAAGAGCGTCACTCCATTCCGTTTCGACGGAAATACGTGGTTCCGCGTTAATGTCATTTTCTGATCGCGGAGATGTAACAACCTCTTGGTTACCACGATACCAAGCAACCGTTCCCAAATGGTGAGGACCTTGGGACATCAGACAGGTCAGTGTCAAGAGACTCCCAGTTTTAACGTAAATATCCGATGTTCCGTTTATCCTGGCACGTGCTTCTGCAACAAAACGAAATAAAATACAATAGAATGGTTTAAAAGTTAGATGGAATAGTTAACCCAGTTTCTCTCTATTTATTTATATATATATTCTATTTTAAAATTAAAAAATAAAAATGATGAAATCTTTTTGTTCGTCGATCGAATGTCATCGCGGTAAATTCATTTCGATTGTCATTGACGTGAACGAGATATGGTTTTTCCTTTATGTCATAAAATGGGAGCCAGATTTTTGGAATACTTTTCTAAAAAGGAGAAGAAGAAAAAGAAAAAAAAAAAAAAAGAATTGGGTTTGAACGATGTGAGTGATCTCGTTGAAAAGGGAAGACCGCAAAGAGTAAAATTTTTTATCGATCTATCGGTTCAAGTGATTCGAATGTCGTGTATGTCAGAGAGAAGGGTAGTGAACGAGAGAGAGTGAGTGAGAGAGAAAAAGAGAAAGGAAAGGAAAAGGTAAAAAGAAAAAGGAAGGAAGGAAGGAAGGAAGGATGGAAAGAAAGAAAGAAAGAAAGAAAGTTGAACGAGAAACGTGCCTGGTCATTGCGGGGTTATAAAATTCGAGCTTACAATTCTGACATGGACTACGTGTGGCCTGCGATGCGGCCGCAGAGTGTCGGCCTAGCCGAGTTCAATCCAAAAGGGTGCCCTCCTGCTGAACGACCACCACCTATGAGCCGTGTAACTTATTGATCGAATATTGCAAATACGTCCTCTCATTTTTCACTGTCCGATCCTGTACACCTTTGTACGGTCGCGATAATTCACGCGAACCCACCACACCGAGGAATTTTCTCGAATTCCGATAAAAATGATATTTGTCTTATAAACGTCCTATAACCTACGTACCTGCTACCAAAATTTTCTCCGACTTTATACCTTTTTTTCTTTACTTTTTGTTTCTTTTTCTTTCTCTCTCTCTCTATTTCTTGACACTATTAGCTATCATATATATATATATTTATGTTTTCAATTTATCTTACTTTTTAATATACACGTGTAAATATATATATATAATTTAATTATTTATTAATAAGCATTACATCTATAAACACACTTGGATAGGCCATTTTTCCAACAATTTATTTTTATTATATAGAAATAAGATTTTATTAATAATTATAATGAGTTAAGTTTAAAAATAATTATAAACTAAATCGTAATATATGAATTTGTTGACACGATCCATTGTCATAATTACCGGGGGAGAGGGGGATGGGGGAGGGAAAATCAACATTTGCAATGATTCGAATAACAGTGTTCTTTTAGTCAACTTATTGTTATAGGTTTTATCAAGTGATTTGTCGTGTTGTTGAATTTAACGGTACTCGCACGTTATTTGGATCGTCTGCGGGCGGGCCGGACGGACATTTTGCTCGAAATTCATCTACTATCACGGCGAATTTGTCCTGAAATATATATCCATCGATGGCAGCTGCATCCGTTCGATAAGCCCCATAGTACTCGGCATAGAGACCATCTCTTGCGAATTTTTTCCCCCGACAAAAAACAAAAGTGCTGAGCTGTACGTTTATTTTTTTTTTTTTTTTTCCTATATAATAGCATTAATAGTAACGTTTTCTAATTCGTTCGAAACCATGCCACGATCGTTCGGGATGCGAGTATTATATCCGATCGGGAATCCAATCAACGATATCCACTTAAGATAAATATTTTGTTAGCGGTCTAGAGCGAGAATCGTTATCATGTTTATGACAATAAACGTCAACGTTTTTATCCCCTTTCTTTTTTTACCCAAAAATTCGTTAGTTTCAATATTATAGATATCAATCATTTATCTTGATAATAGGTTTAACATTTTCTTTTTTTTTTCTACGGTAAATCTAAAATTTTTGTATTTACTCAATCTAATCTCATATGCTTATGAATAAAACGAAAAATTAAAATTATATACCTCATCATCTATCTGAAATTTTAATAGTTGCCCGTGTAAGTTATTAAATGTGTTCTATATTATCTCAAATAAAAAAAACTACATGAAGTTGGATACATCGAATTAAATTAATTTGTGTGCGTAAAAGAATTCACATTCTTGATGTTCGTTGATGAGTAGTAGCTTTGAACGGATTCGATGCATTCGATACTTTTGATACGTTTTTCTTTTATCATCGATAAAGGATAAAAAGGTAGACGATTGCAAAGATCATTTCAGAATCTTTGACCAAGATACAAAGAAGAAATAGAACGAATATTGTACATACGTATATACATTTAGATAAACAACTACGATCACTGATATCTTCTTCAAAGAGCTATATGATATAAAGTATTGAAATATATTGCTTAGTAATGATGCTGAACTAGGCTTGCGAGTATGTTATATTCGATTCTGTATTCGTCACGTAGCCCGAAGGTGGATAGGAATTTTTAGAGTCATACAAGCAAATGGTTGTATCGATTTTCAATCAGAAATTTTTTTATATTTCTCTTTACTGTATATATATATATATTATAGATAATTACGCATATATATTTTTAATAAAATTACTGCTGACATTGTAACGTTATTTGTCCCTGATATTGTTAAAATTTTTCTTATCTACGCGAATATATACACACACAGTTATATATTATATATATATATATATATATATATAATATTTTTCGTGCTCTATATATTATTATTATTCTATTTTATATTTCTTCCTACTATCTGGTAATTTCTTTGTGCTACATTTTTCCGCTATGACCAAGGAGAGCTTATTAAAAAGATCATGGAAATAAATTATGCGTTTTTCTCTTTCTCTTTCTTCGTTTTTTTGTTTTTTCTTTTTTTTAAAGCTTCTGATGCAGAGAAAATCTCCGACAATGCGGTCGCAGTTTTCACAATAATCTGCTTGGCTTTTTTTTTTCTTTTTGTTCTCCGAGCATATCTTTTCGGAAAAAGTTTCGCGTTAACGTTGGATTCGGCGGCAGTGCATCGGTGATTGATGATCCATAAAATTGTAGTGGAACCAGATGGGTAGGTGGATGAGTATCCAAAGGATAAGAGGTGGAACGTTGGGGTAGTTGTGGGTCGACTATGGGGGTGGTTCGGATTGGATAGACGAGGGTTTCGTGACTGATAGCCACTGTCTCGGCACGAGCTGAAAGATATATCGAGCGATACGAGTCAAAATTTGCTTCCTGCGGCGTTCCTCGGCGTTAACGCCAGTTGATTCACCGAACCGTTAAATAAATTTCATCCCGTTTTACCCTTATTCTTTTTCCTTCTTCGATTTTTATGTCCTATCCCTCCTCTCCTTTTCCTATTTTTATTTGGCTTCCCTACTACATTATTTCTTTTTTCATTTTGCTTTCTTTTTTTTCTCTCTCTCTTTTTCTCCTTTTATATATATTATTTTTTATATATAATATTTGCCCCCTTTCTCCATTTTTGTTTTTTTTTTTCTATATGATTTTTATAAAAGGGAAAGAAAAATATACGCGGGGCTTTTTTTTTGGTTTTTTTTTCTTCAATGTCTTAAATAAATAAAACGAATAATATAAACAAATGCGCGAGATCGTTCAAACGATGGAAATGTTTTTTACGTCAGAAATAACAGAAAACTTTCCTTTCCTTTCTGTTTTGCTATTATTTTTTTCTCTCTTTTTTTTTCCTTTTTTCTTTTTTTCTTTTTTTTTTTCATATGTAAAATGATTTTAAAAGAAAGCAAAATACGTAAATTCTAGTGATATATGTATACATGTAAAATAATCAATAAACAATACGATATCGCTCGTACATTGCAAATATTTTTTATGCCAAAAATAACAGATTTTTTGTTTTTCGTTTTCTTTTAATCATTCTGTTATTCGATGTACTTCCTTTTCTGCGTTATTTATTTGTTTTGTTATATTTCTGTAAATTGAATTTATTGTAATTTTTCTTGTCCGTGAAAAGTTTTTTACGAATTGATGGTTTACCGTGGAAATGGATTGAAAAGTTGAACAGGTAATAAAGGAAGTTACTTCCGAAGGATGCAATATCACGTTATAATTGTTGATGCAAAACTGCGGCCGAGTTTATTGGAATAAGAGTTTTTTATCCACGATATAATCGTATTACGTGAAAGAAACAATTTCCAATACTAATAAACTCGGTAAAAGCTCTACCCGCAACGAAATGTTACTTTTTTCTCATTCCCCATCTTACACTTTCTCTCACTTCGTAATTTCGAAACAAGTTTTGTTTCATCGAAAATCTAATTATTGATCGCGAGAGAATTAATTCAGATTAAAAAAGAAAAATATACTAAAAGAGAGTTTAAACCAAAAGGCAAAAAATTAACAGCCCGTAGTTGCGAAGAACGATGTATAAATTGGACGCAAATTTAATTTTTATTTTTTTCTATATTGTAAAAGAAAAAAAAATTGATCAACCTACAAAGAGATTTTAATATTAAACAAATTTATTCGTCTTGTTAGATAAGTTTAACAAATTTTTATTTTCCACTCTTATTTCTCGTCGTACTATTTAATTATAATTAAATATTTTCGATAGAGTATATCGATATTTTGTTAAACGTATTGATTTGTAAGTTTTAATTTGCACATCATTAAGCGTTTCTCAATTGATAACAAATTCGTTCATTTTCGATGTTTGAATCGAATATACAAAGAAAGTTAATTAGCGAGTAGTCGACCAAATCCTATACATCGTTAATTAAACATACAAATGAATCAAATAAAGATTGAATAATATATATATTGATAATGAAAAAACATGAAACTCCTATTAACAATATTTCAATGAGTATCACAATATGATATTATACTTGAAATATCGTATACTTAATCCTTTAATTATATTACACGTATATTATAACTTATTATAATACGCTATAATTAATTTTTTGTAAAATTGTCTATGTTATTGTATAATTATGTTATTTGATATAACAGATCAATGATTTTTAATTTCGATTAATTAATTTAAATAAATAATAGTCTATATTATATTAAATGAATATTTTTAAATAAACGTAAATTTATTACGCGTTT